TTCTGTATTTAAATACATATCCTATCGTGACATCAATATATAGATATGTATCATGTCGACTACTATGATGAGATACACACTCCTAATATTTTCTTGTAAACAAAAGTGCTTGAAAATTATCTGGCACTTAGATCTTATTCTAACTGAAATCATTACACCTTAAAAGTAAATATTATCATTACTAATAAAAAATTTACTGAGTATAGCAAATATGTAAACTGTAAATGTAATTTAATGGTATATTGAAATTATAATTTATAACAAACTTTTGTATTTTCTTTTAGAACCTTTTTTCTTCTTTTGTGAAATTAACTATTTATTGATTTCTTCAAATTGGGCATATAAAAGAATTGGGACTGATTATATTATCATTTTGTAGTATGTATGTTTATGGACTAGTTTAAAGTTTTTTTTAGAAATTATTTCTGTTTGATTTATGTTCTTAATACTCTTTCTAGGCAGTTTGATTGACCTACATGCCACATTCTTAAATGATTTGCATTAAAAGACAATGTTAAAATAGTATTATATCATCCAAGTATTTGTATGTGTTGAATGAAACTTGTCATTATAATCTATGTTAAAATGGTGCTTAATAAGTAATGTACAACACTGATTTTATACATTTATAATTATTAAGGTTAAATTTAAATGATGACTTCTTTTTAAACCGATAGATTATTCTCATGATATGGCTAAAAACAAAACAAAAGAACAACAACACCTTATAATAATACAAATCAGATTTCAATACCCAAGATGAGCAGAGCAAAGACAGCCAATTGTGTGACATTGGGTAGTTGAAATAATCTAAAATAGTAATAATCAGAAACACTAATTTAGACTAATTTATTATTTTCATGTGTTGTGGCACTAATCAATTAATCTGAACAACCTTGAATTAAATCACAAATTATAATGAAAGATCATAATGGCAATACTTCAATTGCTGGATAGTTGAATAATCAGAAATGCTAAATCTCGATTAGTTGATAATGACATTAATCATAATTTCAATTACTGTATAGCTGGAATAATTGAAAATAGGAACAATCTGACATGAGTTGAACATTTTTGCGACATTAATCGATTTAACTTTACTTTCAACTAATCGATTATTTTACGACACTAATTGATGTAATCAATGCTCACAAGTAATTAATCAAGTTAACTGACCAGCTTTCGGGTCAACACCTTCGTCTGGTACCAAATTAACATTATCCTCACAAGTAATTAATCAAGTTAACTGACCAGCTTTCGGGTCAACACCTTCGTCTGGTACCAAATTAACATTATCCTCCGAGTACTTTTTCATCAGTTTATTGTTTTGAGGTTTGAGTTTAGGATAACATTTTATTTTTCATTTCTGGAAATTTTTTTTAAATATATGTTTTTATTGTCTCAGGTGATTCATATCATGTGGACTTACAGTACAGTAAGTAATGTTTTTAATTCAATGAAATGCTTGTTCAACCGGCATTTACTTTCTTTTAGGATGTATTATAAAACAAGCATTACATATACTAAAGTTTGTAATGAACTCGGCAATACTAAAAAATCAACAGCATGCTTTTGATAACATGAAATGTAAGCAAATTTAGAAGCGGAGTTTGCTATTATGTTTTTTTTTTTTGGTTGGAGATAATTATCAAAAATGTTATAGTAAGCTGTTGTTAACCTACCTGCATTGGTTACCATTCTTATTTGTTAAAAGCAATACAATACTTACCTAATTAAGGTATGCTAAATTGTAACTTTGATTACATTTAAGGGTAAGGAATACAACAGGATAATTTTTTTTAATTCCTTGATAGGGATAGGTGTTTACTGTGGGATGCCTTGTAAGTCATGCCAGACGATTTGCTGTTAGTTGTACGATGAAAAGATTTATATGGGCTTACAAAATGAATAATAAAAACCACACAACCATGAGAATACTTGTGTGTATATCTGCTGCCATAAACCTGGACTAGAGAGTGACATATTAGCATGTTCTAGGTTCTCATATGGTAGCTTAGAAACTAGTCTAATTACAGAATTTCTATAACAGAGCTGACAAGATTTTGATGGATGTGAGACACAAGGTTTGAATGAAGACATTGCCTTAGTCATTAGGAAGCAACAGCCTGTACCATGGATGACTGATATGTGAACCGACTTAAAAGTGAACTAGTAAGATGTATGGCAATATGTAATTGCATTTAATATTAAACACTAATAATTTTAATACCCATGTTATTTGAAATTGTTTTTAAATAATATAATTAGAGCATGAAACATACACTTAAAAATATAGGTATTTTATACAGCCAAGTAACAAAAATACAAGTTTAGTGTCACCAACAGCTTCGTTTTTTTGCAGCTACCTCCATCCCTTCTTTTTTTGCTGATTTTTTCCTTTTTTTTTGAACTATTGTTTTTGGTCATACAAAGAAGACTTTTGAGTAAAAAATGAGATGAACACAGTTGATTCACTTTGCCCTTTTTCTTTTTGTCATAAATTCTGTATCATTTTGATGAAAAAAATGCAACAAAGAAGACTTCTGTTTGACATGGATCCTTTGAAAACTAGCAGCAATAATGAAAAAAGGGTGCAAACTTTCTTTAAAAGAGATCATTAAAAAAAAAGGACTTCCTCCTTCCTTTTTTCAAAAACTCTGGACGATAAACGTTTTTTTTTTACTTGGCCTAAGGTTGTTACATATGTACGTTCTTGAAACAGTAGTGCAGTAATGACAGTCTTTCCTTACCCTCTTTATAGCAGCCTTTGGAAAAACAGATCTCCTGTACATTTCATACCTATTCAGTTGGTCCTCCGAGAAATTTGACACAAGAACCCTTAAAAAAAAAAAGACTTATCATTCTTGTTATAAATGTTAATATAATCTAAATTATAATAAGAAGGTTTATAAAAAATTCAATCAACAAATGCTAATAAATGGCTTTGATATTATACTTTATAGTAATACAGTGTTTATGTAGTATCAGCCCTCAACAAATTTTTTTGGTGGTAGGTCTTTCAGCTGTTAAAAATCAGTATTATATCAATGATATTGTTAACATTCTACATTTAAAGTGCAACTTATCTTTCCGTGAGCAAATTTTGAATTATTGTAAATATTTGTTTAAATTACACCGCTACTATTTTAGTAGTAACACTAACAACAGTTACTAACTGCATCTTTTCCCTTTCTTCTTCCTCCAGTTGCTCTTTGGTCTTTCCTGGAGTTTGCCCACTGTCGGCATCAGCTTGATGCATAGAGTCTTCAATTTCAAAGTCATGGTGTAAGTTGATGTTATCTTCTATTTTGTTTTTCAAACGTTCTGGGGTTTGAATTGGTGAAACGTCTATGGAATCATCGTTTTCGGTATCACTAGTATTAAAATTAGGTTTAGAATCACGAGGGGGTGTTACGGAAATCGAGGATTCCTGTGCTTCGCTTCCACGACCGCTACTATTTATACGGCTCTCCTCACATTTACCTAGTGTTTCATTATAAATGTCTTTTTCTACGTCTTCCCTCGTATCTTCCTCTACTTCTAGGTCCTTTTCCATATATAAAGCTAGCTATAACTGCTTACTTTAAAATTATAAATAAAATACTAAGTAGGTCTACGTGCAACTAACTACAAAAAGAGTTCAATTACGATCAGCACAGGCTTACGAGCTACACAGCACTGAAGTCGTCGTCTTTTTGTCACTCAGTCGTTTAAAAAAAAACCAGAGGTTCTTAAATATACGATATGGCTCGGCATATACTTCAAGGAATACCTACTGATCTCGAAATAAACGACTGAAAGGTATTTTGTGTATTTTCTATGAGTGTGAGGAAAGAATAGATTTATTTTATTACAAAAAAAAACAACATAAAAAACACAAGAACTGAAACTGAAGAATGTGATTTTAACTTTAACCTTTCTAAAAACATATAAAAAAAGAAAAAGTTGACAAATAAAAATCTAAAGTGTCGTATAAAAAGCTCAAATAAAACTTTTAAAGCAAACTATAAAAGAGAAACAAAGAAAACTGAAATTTTTTCAGCAAAAATGAACTTAACCTCTGTAGCAACCGCGAACGTTTGACAACACCTGAAGACTACGATTTACTTTCATCATTAACACAGAAAAGCATCTACTTTAAAGGCTTAACTATCAGCACAGTACAAAAATAAACAAACACAAAACCCGACGCTTTAAAGAACGATAGAAACAACCTTGCGAACTTTCAACTCAGTGAATCTCAAACCACAGCACTTAATAAAGGTCGACACTATGCAGTAAATCCTCCCATAATTCCAGTGGTAGATTTAAAAACTAGCTTTGAATACCTTTGTTGAAAAGTAATAATAAAATCTACAACAACTAATCCCAAGCCCAAAACATCAAGAAAAATCCGCGTTGAATTCGTTGCAGGACGACGAAGAGTCACCGGAAATATTCAACATTCCAAAAAAACAAGAACAATTTAATGGGAAATTTTCTTACCAGACCAACAGTAGTTCCATTATAAAACTTTTTAGATGAATTTAATGAGAAATGTTCGAAAATAGTAAACAATTAGAAGCCTATAAAACAAATCTTAGCAGCGGCAGAAAGAAAAGACTTAAAACTTCTTAGAAACAATGAAAACATTTACATCCAAAGAGTTGATAAAAAAAAAAAAAACTCTATCGTGATTCTACTGACTCACTGTTTAGCCTTAACTGACACTGGATTGATTAATTAATTCATAAAACACTCTGGTATTCTTATATTATTATTAGTTTTCTACATACTACAGGAAGCTTCAAGACGTTGCATCATAGTGACGCCATGACTAGTTCTTTCTGGCAAACAAACATCTAAATTAAAATATTAAAAATAGAGCTTAAAACAATGCCCCTACCTGACTTATGAAGTCCCTTGAACAAGCCTAATATACATATAAAATAGTACACTAACCTTTAAAATCCATACTTAGTGATGAGGTCATTATACGTGATTAATACAACGAAATCTCTGACATGTTATTTTACTATGTCTAAACTGTCCATTCATCAAATATTTTTGATGGTTTTATCTTCCAAGGCTCATGGTATGCAGATAAAATGACTTCTTTTACTTTATCATTATGTACTGGGGGAGTTCTTTCTAGGAAGATGTTCGAACAACTCCACTGGTGAACCTATCATTGGTGATTCTCTTGAAGTAGTCTTGATAGGAACCTTGGGCTCTTCAGTAGTTTGAGTTTCTGCTGGTAAATTCTTCTCTGAAGTTCCCTACTCTCTCGTCAGTATATTTCCAAAAACGATCACAGTGGGTGACCTTTGTCTTCACTATCTATTCTCCTGAATGCTACAATCTACTTTATTTATTATTTTTAGTACAAAATATGGTCCTTTTCAACACCTGTTTGCCTTTTGAGTTTGTCTTCTCTTGCAGCAGGGATTATTCAGCCATACAATGTCACCTCGATGAAAACTAGTATCTTCAGCATTAACATTATAGTGGCTTTTCATTTTATCACTTGCTAATTTTAGTTTTTCCCAGATAAAGTCACGTATGACACAAATGTTGTTTCCTAGTCTCTCTGCGTATTCTATGTAAGACTCTGCTGAATGAGTATCTTCAGAATGTGAGTACAGAAGGTTCAGTAGCACTTTAAGTTTTCTCTCTCTCTTTCTCTAATATCAATGATGACGGTATGTTACCTATAGCTTCACCTACTGCTGTTTCATAACTCATTAGTAGTAGTGAAAGATCTTGACCTCATGTTTACTGATGCTCATCCACATAAATGGCTAATTTATTCAGAAGTGTATGGTTCTATCTTTGAACTATTCAGATGAAAATTATGCTGTTGTCTTAGTTTTTGGGTTCCGAGGATTTTGCACATTTCTGCAAATAATGTAAATTTAAAGTTCCATAGACACCCCAAATCTTGAAACAAATGCATTGAAAATTTTCCTTGTTAACGTTTCTGCTTTTTGTTAAGGAACAACACGTGTTTTTGCTAATTTCAAGAAATTGTTCACCATAATCATGGTGTACTTATTCTTACTGTTACTCTATGGCAGAGGACCAAGCACTTCGAAAGCACTTCTGTTATGTGATGCTTCAACACAATATTGCTGAAGCTGCCAATGCTGTTTCTTTATTTAACTTTTTTTGCTCATAGCATAGTTCGCATAAAGCATACCAAATTTCTGCAGATATCTGGCACACAACCCAATAGAAGCTTTCTATTGCCCTTTAAATTTCTATCCGAAACATGAAATACTCCAAGTGTGTAGTTTTTTTGGTCATCATGTATTAAAGTATTCCTGTTACTAGTATTTTAGTAACTATGCTGTTCTCTATTATGACCATGCCTTTTAAAGTACCTACTGCAACTTTTAAATTGGATTTTGATTTTTTATATCGATATTGTCGGGTTATAATTTCCTACGTTTCTGTTTTATGTGAATCTTATGTACACTGAGTGGTCACAAGTAAATAGACACCTAATTTTTCGTCATTTAACTGATTTATGATAACTAATTTGTGTTCACAGAGCACTATGTAAATTAAAATGGTCCGCATACTAATTATCTTGTGCT